AGAAGAATTTATTCCAACCATGCAGGGTCACCCCATGCCCTTGATGGTGCTCTCTGCTGGAAGAGGTTCTAAGGGAAGAGCCAGTTGCCTTAGGAAACAGAGATTGCTAGATTTAAACCCCCTTCCTGACATTCTGGCTCCAGGACTTTCTGTTACTGAGACATCCTCTGAAGTAGCATGAGTTCAAGGCCCAGTTTATGAGCCTTCACAGTGGTAGGCTGTCCATCAGGTTTGCTGATCTCTGTGTCTAGTACTGTAACTGGGGCTTGGTGTAGCTCAGGGAGATGGGTACTTACGTCTGTCAAAGTGTATACATTCATCAGGATCCAGATGCCCAAATAATGGATGCCTTCTGGCTTTGTGTTACATCTTCAGGGATAAAGAGCTACTTGCTGTACTTCTCCGAACTGGAAAGAAGTATTTCCAGGTTAGTATCAAGAGCAGCTGCTCCCTGAGAGTCACTTCTGAGCCAATCTTTCTCTCATGATCACAAGTCATGTGACTCATCCAGGCATCTGTTGAGAACGTGCTACGATAAAAGCCAAAATCCCTACAGACTCCACTGGAATTCACTAGGTCACTCAGCAATATGCTCCCCACTTACTTTTCTTTCTTTTTTTCTTTTTCTGGTACTGGGGATTGAACCCGGAGGCATTTTACCACTAAGCTACATCCTAAGGTCCCCTGCTTTCTTTTTTTTTTTTTTTTAAGACAAGGTCTCACTAAGTTGCTGAGGATCTCTATAAGATGCTGAGTGAGGTTGGCTTTGAACTTATGAACCTCCTGCCTCAGCCTCCCAAATCTCAGGGATTACAAATATGTGCCCCCTATCTGGTTTCATTTACTTTTGTTGTTGTTGTTGTTTTTAGTTTTACATGACAGTAGAATGTATTTTGACATATCATACATACATGGAGTATAACTTCCCTTTTTTTTTTTTTTTTTTGGTACTGGGAATTGAACTCAGAGACACTTAACCACTGAGCCATATCCCCAGCCCCATTTTATATTTTATTTAGAGACAGGGACTCAATGAGTTGCTTAGCACCTCTCTGTTGCTGAGACTGGCTTTGAACTCACAATCCTCCTGCCAATCCTGAGTTTCTGGGATTACAGGTGTGTGCCACCACACACAGCCATAACTTCCCGTTTTTGTGGTTGTACATGATGTGGAGTTACATTCTTTTTGTATTCATATGAGAACATAGGAAAGTTATGTCTGATTCATTCTACTGTCTTTCCTACTCCTATCTCTCCCCCCTCATTTATTTTTCTTACAAATTCCCAGTCTCTAGTTGCAGTATTAATTTTACCTTAACTCTCAGCATAATGTCCTTAGCCAAAGGGCTAAATCATTGTCCCAACCTATTCCAGACTGTGACAATCATGTGTGGGAAAGAGGGAAACAGAACAAGAAATTTCTGTGTAGAGAAGTTGAAATTTTTTCTTTCTTTGAAGTTTCTGGAACCTAGGGTGTCACACATGCTAAGCATGTGCTTTACCACTGAGATACTTCTCAGAAGTTGAGATAATTTTAAAACTGTTACTTAGTTCACTAGATCTGGGGATATGAACAGTTCACTGAATAAAACTATTTTACAAGAATTGAAGAAGAATTGCTGAGAATTCTTAATATAATTGTATAAAATATTCACTATGTGAGTTTTGAAGATAATCAAACAGTATATGGTAGCAATTGGGTATAGATTCCCGAGTCCTATGCTCCAGAAATTTTTTATTCATGATTCAATTAAATAGCTCTTTAGTTCTAGAATATATTCCATGAACACAAGACAATTATCTTCATCTTCAAGCTTAATTTAACACTATTTACCAAGCTCATTAATTAAAAGGTAGTGTATCTACCTAATCTAGGCATTCATCCATTATAAACATGGACAGTGACATAGTCTCATCTTTCAGTTCCCTTATGGGACAATTTTTTTGTCTCTGTGCATTCAAGAGTCACCTCCACCCATTGCCCATTCTGTAGATAAAGAAGGGTATTTACAGTTGGACTCTCATCTATAAAACAACATTCAAAACCATGGCAGGGCTGCCCAAGCCCAGGGTCCATTGACAATTTAGGAGACAACCAATGTTTCTTTCTTCTCAGATCTACTTCTGCCCTGTTCTCAGTTCATGGAAAAAGCCCTGCTACGTGCTTTTCCCCAAGGTCTCAGACAAGGCACACACCCACGCCCAGCCTCCTCGTCTGGCTGGCTCCAGTTCCCACATGCACTTTGCTGATGTTAGAGGGCACTTCACAGGGCACACCAGACAATGTAGTTCTGGTTACACTCTGTCAAGTGCTTTGACAATTATACCACTGATGTTAGTCTTGCCTTCCCCTACAGAAGTTCCTGGAAAGGTACTTAGTAACAATAGCTCCTGGCACTGGGCCCCCACTCAGAGCTGGTACTCAGTCAATAACCACTCATCTTTCTATCAAGTCTTTCCCTGTGAGAATGGCGAGCAGATGAAGGAAACAATCCTACACAGGCCAGGCTCTGGCTTCCCTGGGGCACCTGCCAGGCAGTGATGTCCTTGATACACACCATGGAAATACCTATGGCCAGTCTGCCCTCTCCTAGCTCTTTTAAATTCAGTTTCTTTGGAACTCCCCCACTTTACCTTCTCCCCATCCCTTCATAGCACCCCTCCCTGCATTTAATTTAAAGCATTCATGAAAGTTATTTTTCTCTCCATCTCTGCTGCAAGGTGCAGTACCTGGATTTCAGATGAGGAAGTCTGGCTGGCAAGATGATGGATAAATGGGTGAATGTCTGGACTAATGGGAGGGTGAGGACATGGATGCATCAGTAGAAAAATGAACTCTCCTTTCCTGGAAGTGCCCTGGAATGACCCCTTCCAAAGGGCAGAGGTCCCCACTTGTTCAAGGAATTAAGACCCCAGTGAGATTCCAGTGACTTTATAAGATGAAATTTGTTAAAAAAGTTTGTGACTTAAAATCTGGGTGCAGTGGTGTACAACTGTAATCCCAATGACTCAGGAAGCTGAGAGGCAGAAGGATCATAAGTTCAATGTCAGCCTCCACAATTTAGAAGACCTGTCTCAAAATTAAAAATAAATAAATAAAAGGTCTGGGAATATAAGTCAGTAGATCACCACCTCTGGGTTCAATCCTTAGGACCACAAAAAAGAAAACATTCTAACTTTAACTGGGTGTGGTGGCACATACCTCTAATCCCAGCTACTTGGAGGGCCTGAGGCAGGAAAATCCTAGGTTCAAGGCCAGCCTGGGAAATTTAGCAAGACACTGTCTCAAAATAAAATTTATAAAAATGCTGGAGATGTAGATCAGTGGCGGAGTGCTTGCCTAGTATGTGTAAGATCCTGGGTTCCATTCTCCAGTACTGAAAAAAAATTATAACTTAGAAACTAGAATATTTATGAACATATAATCAAAACATGGCAAGACATGAGGGCAATTCTACAATTTAGCATACACAAACATATTCATTTATACCTCGTTGCTAGGTAATACATTTTGGGAATGTTCAATGTTTTTTATTCACTACTTGTAATAGAGGGCCATTAGTTCCCTCAATCGAGAGCAAAATGTATCTACTATCAACATCAATTATTTTTCAATCTTGAACTTGAAAGCTTTTAAAGAAAAAGACTTTAAGATCTCACCCAGAGCTTCCTGGTCTTAGCTGTATGCTTGAATTACCTGGGGAAGCTTTTAAAAATCTCGATGCCAAGGTTGCCTCTCAAATCTATTACATTAGAATCTCTGGGGAGAAGACACAGGCATCTGTATATTTTCCTCTTTTGAAGAAATGTTTGGGTCAGGTGCAGTAGCATATGCCTGTAATCCCAGCTACTCAGGAGGTCAAGGAGGATTGCAAGTTCAGCCTGGACGACTTAGTAAGAACTTGTCTCAGTTGGAGATATAACTCAGTGGTACAGTGCTTACCTAGTATGCTTGAGGACATGATTCAAACCCCCCATACCAAAAATTTTTTGGTTTGGCTTTGTTGTTGTTGTTGTTGTACTGGGGATCAAACCCAGGGTTTTGCAAATGCTAAGCAACTGAGCTATACACCCAGCTCCAACATGCATATTTTTAAAGCTTCCCAAATAATTCTCATGTGCAGACAAGACTGAGAATTACCACTCAACCCTTATACATCTAAGGCTAATATAAAAAGACTTACTATGCAAACTAGAGGGTTTTATGTTCCCTCTGAGAGAGTTGTTTTGTTTTGTTCATGGTATAGGGATTGAACCAAGGGGTGCTCTAACACTGAACTGCATCCCTGGCCATTTATTTAGAGACAGGATTAAGGCTGGCTATGAATTTACAATCCTCCTGCCTCAGTCTCCCAAGTTGCCCAGCTGAGAGTCAGGTTTGAAACCATCCCTCCCCATCATCTTGTTTTTCCTTTTCTTCTATTTCTGTCCTAACAACCAAGAATAAACTCAATGGCTCCAGCGACGAGGATCCAAATTCAGGAGAACTATGCTATCATTTTGTGAATCTGTACTTTTCCACTCCTGAATTTCCATGCCTAAAACCAGTTTCGGGAATTGAGGGAAAGAGACAGCTGCCATAGAGTCAGGTGTGATGGTGCCTGCAATCCCAGCAACCCGGGAGGCTGAGGCAAGAGAATGGCAAGTTCAAGGACTGCCGGGTCAATTGAGCAAGACCCTGTCTCAAAAAATAAAAAGGGCTGTGATATACCTGGGTTCAATCCCCAGTACCACCAAAAGAAAAAAAAAAGTGGTTGTTTTTAATTGCTAGATTCTCTGTGTCTGCAGTGTGGTTTCTGGGCTGGACCATTTCATTGATCAGTTGGAAAGGGAAAGCTGGAAAGAATCTAGGGATGCTTCCTGGAACTTGGAGATAGTTGGGTTCAGAGGAGGACATGGGAGAGCATCTCTCAGTACCCCATCCATTCATTCTTCCAATGCCCACTAACTCTGCAGGGCTCCTGGAGTAGGCGGAATAAAAAGACTTGCACACGACAACAGCAGATTGCAGTTATGTATTTAGTTTCCTATGTACTTGAACAACAAGGGCCATGGGAAGGGGAAGAGAAATGCTGGAAGAGCTGCCTGGCTGGAGTACCTGACTTCGGCTAAGACATGGATTCCTAAGCACAATTTACAAAATCATTTTCCTACAGGAAAATCGGCTTCCACAGGGGTAGCAGGGGTTGCAGGGGTCGCAGGGGTTGCAAGGGTTGCAAGGGCTGCAGGGGCTGCATGGGTTGCAGGGGTTGCATGGGTTGCAGGGGGAAGCACAAGGGTAGCATGGAGACTCGATCTTGACACAACTGCCGAGGCCGTAGGAGTAGGTTACATCCTTTTCGTCTACACATGGCGGCAAGCTGAACTCTTTGCAGATGTTCATATAGCTGTACTTTTTGGATCCGAGGCAGTCGTACCTGTTCTCCCGTTCAGCTGACACACACACCTTTCCGTCCTTTACTCGTACTTTGACTTGATCAGGTTCAAAGCCACACACGTTCACTGACCCCAAGATGTTACTGCTACAGCAAGAGGAGGCCAGGATTCTGTTTGTTGTTCTTCTGAGCCTGGAATTGAGAAAAAAGGACAGAGTGAGAGGAAGGAGCTCAGACACAGCCCAAGAAGCCATATTTTAATCTCTATCTCCCTTTAATAGCAAAAGCTCACACTAGTCATCATGAAAAATCAAATTTACACAAACGAGGAACATAAAAAGTGAGAGTCCCGCTACATGAATCACACTGCCCTAAAGGTCAGCCTCTGTTAACAAATGGGTGCTTGGCCATTCAGGTCTTTCTCTTATATTTCAATTCTAGCTCCTCCTCTATTAATTATGAAACCATGGGGGGTTAGCATTTTACTTAATGCTGTGCTTGGCATGTTTCAAATCTTATTTAATTATTACAATTATCATTGATGTTTCTACAATTATATAGACAGTAGTTTTTTAATGGGACACAATTGAAAAGATACCATTTAAACACTATATATTACTTGGAAAGGCAGATGGTTTGCTTGAGCCCAGGAGTTTTGAGACCCACCACCTGGTCAACACAGTAAGACTCTGTCTAAAAAAACAATAAAAACATGACTGTCAGCTCCGCCACTGGACAATCACCCAGACACTTGACTTGAAAAGTTCCATCAGCAAAGAGGGCAGGAGAGAACTGACCTGGTTCTGTCCACTAGGCCTGACTCCTCTTGCTGCCATGAAGTGGCTCCAGATTCTAGTGACCTGGTGCCAGAAGGAATTCAGTCCTTTTGGCAGGGCTGTGTCCATCAGATATGGGACCACCCACCAGTGGCATGTTGGTTGGGATCCTACCAGCTTTCAAGAGCTCATGTGTGCTTCTTTTCTCAGCTCCTCATTTAGTGACTTCACATTAATTGTTCAAAATCATGGAAGGAATATTTACACCACAGCAAGTGGAAAATGCTACAGATCAGAACCAGTTGTCAAATGCCATTGCCATGGCTCCTAGAGAAGCTGACAGTTGCTATTCATGTCCTACCATGTAAATCTTTTTTTTTTTTTTTAATATTTATTTTTCAGTTCTTGGCAGACACAACATCTTTGTTTGTATGTGGTGCTGAGGATCGAACCCGGGCCGCACGCATGCCAGGCGAGCGCGCTACCACTTGAGCCACATCCCCAGCCCCGTAAATCCTTAATAAGAAATTAACAGCAGCTCACACTGATTGATCAGTTAGGATACATCAAGAACTAGTAAAGCCAAGTGCCCAAGAGCACAGTCTCTATAGAGTATGTTTAAATCTCAGTTCTGCCACACGGACAAGTTTTTTAACTTCTCTGTGTCTCAGTTTCCTCATCTGTAAAACTGGGACAATAAGTAGTCTCCTACCTATTGTGTTATTGTGAGGTTTAAATTAGTTAATGCATGAAAAAAAAAAGTCACAACTGTGATTGGCACATGGTTAGATTGTTAGGCTTTTGTCTTTGTCTGTTGTTGCTATTTGTTTGTTTACAATTTGCCATGGAAAGTGCTAAGCAAGTTACAAAGAGTTATTCCATTTAATCTTCACAATAACTGTGGTGCACATGTGATTATCACTGTATTGCCTTTTTTATGCTGAATTTTGTTTAAACATTTGCTTCTTTTTTGTTATGTAAGTTATATAGGTCCAGAAAATATAAAGAAAAAGATTAATTTTTTTTTTAAAGAGAGAGAGAATCTTTAATATTTATTTTTTAGTTTTCGGCAGACACAACATCTTTGTTTGTATTTGGTGTTGAGGATCGAACCCGGGCTGCACGCATGCCAGGCGAGCGCGATACCGCTTGAGCCACATCCCCAGCCTGATTAAATATTTTTTAAAAGTTCATAATTACATATCACACTTAACTCTTTTGTGTTACACTTTTTTCTGTGTGTGTGTGTTTCTACATACAGTTTTGTGTAGGTTCTTAAATTCATACTACACACACTGAATTTAATCTTCACTTTTCACTTGACAAGACTTCACAGGATTGGTTTAATAGTGTAAACCACTTGTACTGAAAATTATACACCAAGACTCTTAATGGCTAATTACAAAATGACCAAGTACAACTTGGTCCTAAGAGACACTGAGGCAAACAGAAACAACTTGAGTCATATACCCAGAGGACTATATAATAAGTCACTCAGCTCCATTTCTACCCCCAACCCGAAGGAATCTGAGGATGGCGGGGGTACAGTAATCTTTTTTGCCCTGGGTATACTGGAATACCCTAGGCCATACTAAGAAGAAAGGAAGAGAACTGGACTTTGAAATTGCTATCTCTGAGAGGCAGCCCAGAGATCAAGCACATTATCTTACTAGATAGAGAATAACTCACAAAAATGCAAGAAACAGCGCAAACTCTAGACATGTTGCTCTCTCTGGATAGATCATAGCTTGAAGCTGGGCATGCCTATAATACCAGTGACAAGGAGGCTGAGACAGGAGGATCACAACTTTGAGACTGGCCTCAGCCACTTAGCAAAGACCCTCAGGCAACTTAGTGTAACTCTGTCTCAGAATAAAAAGGCTGGGGATGTGGCTCAGTGGTAAAGTGTCTCTGGGTTCAATCCTTAGTACCCAAAAAATAAGATAAGAGCTTGAAGGAGAGCAGCCAAGGCCATAAGTGAAGCACAGAGTAGAGTAGGTACTCAGGGTTTCTCAGATTCTCCACGGTGTGCACATGGGCTGAGTCAAATTACATCATATCCTGCTGCAAAGAAGGGGCTTGGACTAACAAAAGAGTGTTCAAAGACCCCAAGCAGGATTTCTAGATCCCCAGTGACTGCCTGAGCTGATTCCGCCCTCCTGCCATCTGTAGGAGATGGATCTGGCAACCAGACCCACCAGGCATTGCCCCCTTCAGGTCCATCTCCACTTAGATGCCTGAATCCCAGGTACAACTTCATGCATTTTGTTCCCCCTTTCTCCCCTATCCCTACCACTTTGGCTTCTTTGCAGCAATTATATAGCTATCCCACACTGGGGTTTTTTGAGAAATGGCCTAAAACTCTTGGCCAATCAGGTCTCTTCTTGCATTTATCTCAGTGGCTATGAGCAAGAACCTGTGGGTTTAAGGGAACTCGCAGGAGTCACATTTTGCTCATCAGACTCAACTCTGAACTTGCAACTTGACTTTGCCATCAGCCTAAATGGGATTTCCCATGGCTCTCTGGAGTTCTGGGCAAGGGGAGATTGCCTCTTATGCTTTTATCACAGAGCTGAACCAGTTCCTTTGGTTCTCTGTTGAAGACTCATAGAAAAGCTGGAGACAGCTTCAGACCAAAGGCTCCTGTGTCTGCACTCTGTGCTAGTCTGTTTCGCTCTGCTGAAGCTGAGTTTCACCTGCACATCAGACCACACTCCTGAATGTGAAACACCACCCACGCCCATGAAGAGCTATATGAGCAGCCATCTTCATACAGATATAACTCATATTCATTCCTGTGATTAATAAAGGAAGATGTCAAAAATTACTCTATCCACCTGAGAGCAAGGGGAAGCAAGCCTTCTCTAAGCTTTGTTGGAATACTTTGCTTTTCTTCCATTTTTACAAAGACCCATGTAAACACATCCTTCCCTTTCTTTTCTCCTTTTTTCCTCTCTCCCCTCTTTTTGACTTTTCTCCCTTCTCTAGAATTTGGTATTAATATGGCAGACAGTTCACTCAACAAGGAGTAAACAGTGTAGTCTGGCTGCATTTGACTTTCCTGCAGGGCTGGATAAAACACAGGTGTCTGGATCCCCACCCCAACCCCACCCCCACCCCCACCCCCACCCCCCAAGTTTCAGATTCAGTTGCTCTGGTGTGGAGTTGAGAATTTGCATTTCTAATAAGTGCCAGGTGACTCTGCTAATGCTGATCCAGGGACTACACTTTGAGAATCACTGGCCAGGTGGTGAGGTACATGAATTTCTCACTCAGGTGAATGTGTCTTCAAGTCAGGGCTCCGCGATGTCTCAGTGATCAAGACGGTTGCCCTAGATCTGATTCATTAACTATATGATGAGAGAGATAATAGCAGCCCAAAGGCATACTAGGAGAATTAAATGAATGTGAATACTGGGTACATAGACATTACTCAATAAAGAAAATTCTTCTTCATCATTCCTTCTGTAAACGAACTTACCCAAAAATCTGAGGTTTTTTTTTTTCTTTCTTTCTTTCCTGATAAAGGAAGCAACTTCAGAAAGCTTTTATTTTTTTCAAGTAACCAATGCTATTGATGCAAAACAAACAAAAAAACCCCAACAACTTCTCCAATACTACTTTCAAAACCAACACATCACATTTTATTTTTATTAGAATGTAATTATTTTTTTCTATACCAGTTAATAAAAAACCAAGACCCAGACGAAATCTGAGTTTTTAAGTGACAAAGGCCCAAGTCCTATATCATTAAACAATAAGGTCAAACTAAATAATAGAAATGATTTTCACCAGCTGGGTATGGTGACACACAGCTGTAGTCCCAGTTACTCAAGAGGCAAGAGGATTGTAAGCTTGAGGCCAGCCTCGGTGATTCAGTGAGGTTCTATTCCAAAATAAAATGAAGGGCTGGAGGTGTAGCTCAGTGGTATAGCTCCCCTGGGTTCCACCCCTAGTCTCTCTCTCTCTCTTTCACACACACACACACACACACACACACACAAAGAATGTTTTAGGCTTAGGTGGCAACTCCTAGCCTCGAAACCAAGGGGGACTGGGCTCCAAGACAACAGGTACAAAGAGATTATGATGAGAGAGCAACCAGGGGCCAGCTCTTCTGTCTCTCAGAGGACACAGGGAAGCTGGCTCTCTGTGGAAAGCCAGTCTTTACCAGTCATAAAGCCCCAGTCTGACCCTGACTCACTGACTGAGAGAAGACTCAATGAAAACCTCAAACTCATGAGTGTGTGGGGAGTCCAGAAAAGAAATGAGAGGGCAGGTTTTTGAAGTTTTGAGATGGCAGGCCTCCTGGGGGGACTTTGAAGGGAATTTCTTGTTGAGATTTAGGCCAACCACAGGCTCTTAGGTGAGTGGATGGAAGCACAGCTTCAGGATTCATTTCTAGGTACCAAAGAAGGGTACAGAGGGTGAGGCCAGTGTAGCTCAAGGTACAACTGTAAACCAAGATTCATCTGGCCACAGGACTAGTGCCGGTGTCAAAGCCACACCTGCATCTGTTCATAAGGTCATAAACTATGGTCAGGATTGAAGATGGTTTGGAGCTGGTTTATTCCTCCAGCTTTAGTATTGAGGAAAGGGAACCCCATGAAGTGCTGTGGCTGATCAGGTACAAACTTAAGGCAGGATGATGTGGGATTTCCCCAAAGGAAACCAAATTCAGTTACCTCAGTCCTTCTAGATCCAGAAGAGTGAGGATGAGTCAGGGGCATGGCTAGTGCTTCGGGCATAAAAGGTAACTGGGGAAGGAACAGGCATACTGAAAAAGCTAAAGAAACCAAAGTGCTAAATTGGGTACCTACTAAGGAAGACACTGCCTCCTCTACCCCAACCCCTGTGGTACTGGGGATAAAACCCAGGGCCTTGCAAGTACCCAGGGTGTTCAGGCAGTCTACCACAGACCTGCACCCACAGTTCCTTTGTATTTCATTTTGAGACAGAGTCTTGCTATGTTGTCCAGGCTGACCTCAAACTTGGTATCTTCCTGCTTCAACCTCCCATGTAGCAGCTAGGAGTACAGGTGTTTGCTACCACACCTGGCTGACACTGACTTTTTTTTTTTTTTTTTTAATTGTTGGTTGTTCAAAACATTACAAATTTCTTGACATATCATATTCCACACTTTGATTCAAGTGGGTTATGAACTCCCACCTTCACCCCATACACAGATTGCAGAATCACATCAGTTACACATCCATTGATTTACATATTGCCATACTAGTGTCTGTTGTGCTCCGCTGCCTTTCCCATCCTCCACCATCCCCCCTCCCCACCTCTCCCCTCCCCTCCCCTCCTCTCTCTCTACCCCCTCCACTGTATAACCCTGAGGGTCTCCTTCCATTTCCATGCAATTTCCCTTCTCTCTCCCTTTCCCTCCCACCTCTCATCCCTGTTAAATGTTAATCTTCTTCTCCTGCTCTTCGTCCCTACTCTGATCTTAGTTACTCTCCTTATATCAAAGAAGACATTTGGCATTTGTTTTTTAGGGATTGGCTAGCTTCACTTAGCATAATCTGCTCTAATGCCATCCATTTCCCTGCAAATTCTATGATTTTGTCATTTTTAAATGCAGAGTAATACTCCATTGTGTATAAATGCCACATTTTTTTTATCCATTCGTCTATTGAAGGGCATCTAGGTTGGTTTCACAGCCTTGCTATTGTGAATTGCTGACACTGACTTTTGAAGCAGCTACTCAAGCAAGAATGGATACAAGGCCATGGATACCACAAAAAAAAAAAAAAAGTAAGAAAGAAAAGAAACAATGGAAGTGAGTTGGACCCTCTATGCCTGGTCTAAAGAAAACACTATATATATAAAATACATATACGTATATATCCATCTATCCATATATTATATGTATGTTATATATTATATATTATATGAATATTATATATATATATATATATAAATATAAATGACAGATACTCAAGAATGTTCAAGAAACTTATGGATGAAATTTAAAAATTTTTGGCCAAGAGTTTTTACTCATTATTAGAGTCATACCCAGACACATAACAGATTGACTCTCGCATAGAAAGTAATTTCAGTGGGGTGGAGGCAACTACAGACTAGGAACATAGAACCTTCTGGACAACCCAGAATGACATCTGAAAGATATGTCATAACTAACCAACGACTCAGCATTCTTTAAAAGGGTGAAAGGTCATGTGAATATGAATTCTAAATCCACAAAGCCTTGGACAAGATTTCACACCAAAGATTGTTTTTAAAAAAGTTAACTCAACATAATATTTCTGGATCTCTTTAGTCATGGATCAGGAGCTAGCTTAAAGATAAGAAAGAGGAGGTATTCCACCGGAAGAAAAAAATATTAACAGTGTGAGTCCTCTGGGATTGGAGCTGGGATCACAGCTGAACATTTTCACCTCTATTCAGGAAAATTGAAGATTTAGGTTTACAGGTGACACTAAGCCCTTTTGGATAGGGAGATGTCAAGCTGTCAGAAATAGAGCACAGAAATTTCACAAAGTAGTATGAATGGGAAGAAAAGTATCTGGGAGGAGAAAAAAAGAGGGCAAAAGCCTGAGGTCATTTCTAAAATGGTCTCAGAGTTATCCATTCAGAGATCCAGGAATTAATGTAAGGAATCACCAGCTTCAAATCCTGCTGCTGGCACAGGAAAACAAACAAAAACAGCCAAGACCCAGACACTGTCAGAATAAGCATCACAAACTAGAGAAAGCATCACCTCTTGTATGAACTACTCTGCTGGGAATTAAAGCTGGGCCAACTGAGCACCAAAAAATAGGGTCTCTAAAGTGGGATAAGGAGCCTGATGGCAAAGGGCAGAGAGGCATTGCCCTGAGGGGTGTGGGAAGAGGGGAGCTCAGAAGACCCAAGGTATAGAGGGAGTGGGCATAGACCTGCCCACAAGGAGCCCTTCCTCACAGTGTGAACAGTTTATAAACTTGATTCCCTAAGGAGTAAAAATAAACAGTGGTTCAAAGAATATGTGGATGAATCTGTAGGTGAATGCTCCATTTCAGCCTATGGGGAGGGGTCAGTCCTGATCTTTGGCCAAGGCTGATGACCTCGACAATTACTGTCCAATTACCCTTCCGATGAAACACCACTGTCACTGTTGCCAAGGGACCTCTCCTACATACCCACCCACCCACCATTCATCTATTTTTCTAGGCATCTTACCTATCTATGCTTATCTTTTAAAAAATAGGACCATATTAAACAGTTTTTCTAGATTTGCTTTTTTCACTTACCACCATCAATATGTAAAAATGCTTTGTCCATCCGTTTAACATCTACATACCGTCCCAATGTTTAGGTGGGCCATAATTTATTTAGCCAGAGGACAACTCTCTCCACCACTGTTTTCATCAGTAGCAGCAGACTTATATAGACAGAGATTTCCTTCTTTACTCCAGGCAAAAAAGAAAATATGATCAAAACTAAAACATTTTTTAGATTCCCCAATTCCATGGAAACCCAACTCAAGTCTCCTCTGAAAGGGGCAACTGAGTTCTGTAGTTTATTTCCACAGCTTTTTCTGGAGTTGGAGGGGAAAGCCAATGTAATGGCCTCAACTCCAGAGGAACTGTAAGTCTTTGGAGTTGGGAGGAAGGGGAGAAAGATTTTCCTACAAAATGAAGGAAATGCCTCTATTGTTCAATTTATTCTCCTTCTCCTAAAGCCTCTGGCAAACATTAAGGATTTGATCAATTATTATTACTTGTCCTGCAGACATTTCTGTAAGTCCAAATACACTCAAATCACTTTACTCATAACCAGAAAAAATGTCTCGTTTGCTGCCTCCAATAGCTTTTTAATGACACCCCCTATTTCTTTCCCTCATTAAAGCCACCTAATTTGTCAAGTTGGCACTCCCGCTATAAACCACCAGCTGCCCTCAACATCGTTACATTGTCTTTGGAGAATCTCACCATTCCCATTATGGACCCATTGACTCTTCTTAAATCTTTCCTAAGTCACCAGAGTCATTATCTTGAACATTTTTTTTTTATCTTTGTTCAAGTATCAATTGTCACCCCCCCCCCTTTTATTTCAACTGATGAGGCTGAGAAACCAACTCTAAAGATCTAAAAGTGAGTTCTCTCACTTGGCAAGCTCTCTCTTTTCGTCCTCGATGGCTCTGATGGCTTTCCTCTCCAAACTCCTGAGGGACGGGCGAAGGCAGTACAGCTTGTAGTCACACAGGCAGCACGGGTAGAGGTCACACAGGCCGCAGGAACGCGATCGCTTCGAGTAGCACAGGCAGTACGGGTAGGGATGCAAGTCACAGCAGCAGTACGGGTGCATGTACAAGTCGCACAGGCATCGGGTGCTGAATTCATCGATGCATCTCAACTGTCTTAATTCTCTGTCCACCTTCTTTATGTCCCTTCTAACACTGTCCAAAAGACAACTCAGTGCAGCCATTACAGTCACACCTTATTGTTCAGTGAGTACCTTTGGGAAATGGCACTCAAGGGAAAAAATTGTTCTAAGCTCTTCTCAGAGGTTTCTTTTAAAAATAAATGAGACTCACATGGCTCACTTACTTTAAGGCTTGTATTCTGTGACCTCACCATCCTCTGAGTATGTCATAATCTTCTGGTTGCCATGTGAACCAGACCCAGTCACACTCTCCAGAGACCCTCCTGAGAGCTACAGAGATACTCTCAGAAACATACTCATGCTGAGATTTCATTCACCTTCACATGGGGTGTCTCCCAAGCAATCCTGGCTCCTGGGTTCACGGGATTAAACTTGAATGTCCCTGACTTGTGTGTGCTCTAAGGATGAGCCATGGCTTGCCAGTGCTGATCTTGGTGCGCCCATGGCAGGAGCTGCCTGGTTCCTTTCTCAATGCCCTTCTGCCCGAGGCTCAGTCTTGCTCTTTTTATTCTGGGATCCATTCTGGTTCCAGGCAGGAAGAATATTATAAAGAACTTTCATGTAGTTCTCTTTCTCCTGTCAAGTCCTCATCAAGTCAGCCTTTGTCCTTGACCTTCTGAGTCCCAATGTCCAGTCCTGCCCATTCCCCCCACCCAACCCCTGCTGGGGATCAAACCCAGGGGCTCACACGGCCTCACCTCACCTGCCTGTTCTTGGCTTGCTGGGGTCCTGGCTGTCCTGGAACCTCAGTTCTCCATGGGTGGGGATCCTGCCTGGAAACTGCCATTTCTGTGCTCAGAGTCCTGTCCTCAGTCACCATCTCTCAGCAACTATAACTGTGGTCTTGTCTTCAAGCCTCCAGATTCCCCAAACGTATCCCACATGTTGGTCCTTGACACTCTTTTAGACAGTGGCCAGAAATCCTCGCTCCAGCATTTCCTGCGCTCTACTTTAGACCAGGACCATGTACTTAGCCTCAGATTTGGCTTGTGCTAATTCTCTGGGTACCAGAGAAGCCTTGAGCTGCTGCTCGGCTCTGACTCTCCTTTTCATGGATTAAAGTATAGAGAACTTGAGGACAAGTGGTTGAATGTGACACTGGAGAGGTGATAATAGTCAGGTTTCAAGGGACTTGTAGGCCAGACTAAGGAGTTTAAAGGATCATCAATTTTCTTCTTAAATTGATAGAAGTTTGGGGGTTTTTTTGTTTGTTTGTCTGGGGTTTTTTTAGTGGGGGAGGGTATTGGAGATTAAATCCAAGAGGCTTTACCCTAGGGTCTTAGTTGCTTAGGGCCTCACTAAATTGCTTTATTGATGAAGGTTGAAAGGTAGCTGGGTGCAGTGGCACAGGCCTATAATCTCAGCAGTTCAGGAGGCTGAGGCAGGAGGATCACAAGTTCAAGGCCAGCCTCAGCAATTTAGTGAGGCCCTCAGCAACTTAGTGAGACCCTGTCTCAAAATTTTAAAAAATTTAAAAGCCAGGGAAATGACTCAGTGGTTAAGTGCCCCTGGGTTCAACCCTCAGTATAAAAGAGAGAGAGAGAGAGAGAGAGAGAGAGAGAGAAAGGGAGAAAAGGACAGTCTGGACTGGGGATCCTTGCTATAGGGATATAAGGATAGCTAGGAGGAAGCTGGTGAGATCAGCTTCCCCTCCCCCATATTCATTCAGGCCCAATCAGTTTGTTCTCTACATTGTAGACAGAGAAGTTTTATACACAGATCTATCATCCCTCAATCTCCCCACCCACCCATCTCTTGCCCTAAAACTCCTCAGTCTTTTCTATCCTCTTAAAAGAAGAATTAAAATCTGTTGGGTGTGGTTGTACATGTCTGTAATCCCAGCTCTTTGGGAGGCTGAGAGAGGAGAATCATAAATTTGAGGCCAGTCCGGGAAACTTAGTGAGATTAAAGTCTCAAAATAAAAATTAAAAAGGACTGGAGATGTAGCTCCACGGTAAAGAGGAAAGAAAAGAAAAAGAAAAAGGACTCCGATGTGGTGGGACACACCTGTAATCCCAGCAACTCTGGAGGCTGAGGCAGGAGGAGCCCAAGTTTGAGGCCAGCCTCAGTAACAGTGAGACCTCAGCAACAAAAGCTATCTCAAAATAGAAAATAAAAGGGACTGGTGATGGAGCTCAGTGCTAGAACATTCCCCAGTACTGTAAGAAAACAAAAGGACTAAAATCCTTAGGATGCTGATGATAGGGCCTGTGCCCACCTCCCTGGTCTCCTGTCCCATCATTATGACTCCAATTCATGCAGCTCAGACACAATGGCCTCCCCAGAAGGCCACAAACTTCCTGAAGGCCATTCCATACTCTCTTCATCTCAATCTCCATTGCACAGTACTTAGACACCTGGTGTTCTGCCTGCTTGGAAATTGAACCCACCACCCCCTGACCTTGATCTAGTTGACTCCTAAAGCACCCTTTAGACCTCCACTTACATGCTCCTCCTCGAGGAAGCCTTCTCTGTCCCCCAGACCAAACCCTCTCATAACTTCACACATATTTCCTATATAACATTATTTGTCTGTTTCCCTAACTAGACTTAAAGCCACAGGAACAGAGACCTTGACTACCATATAGCTAATGGCGCAGTAAGTGGCACACAGTAGGTGTGAATGAATTAAACAATTTAGAGGACAGAATGAGAAGCGTGGGAGGAATCAGTCATGACTCTTGGGTGTCTAGTTGGCAGCCTCCTGGTACCACTGAGACAAGAAACGAAGAGGGATGCTTTCAGGGGACATGGTTAACAGGAGAGGCTAGTGACAACCCTAAGGTAGAACTGTGCAGTGGCCCGTGGATAAGTGGGTCTGGAAGTTGAGGGAAGCTGGGCTGGAGATGTGAACTAGGGAGCCACTGGAAACCTGGAAAAGCCGAGTGAAGGAGCTCATGAGGGCTGATAGGAGGAGGAGGAGGAGAGGCCGGAGCCTCTCAGCCAAAGTCCCTCATGTGTCACTAGACCAAGTCTGGCTCTCCTACTGGTTCAGTGGCATTCCCCAGCCTTGACCTGAGAGGCCCCTGGGTGCTGATGAAGTGTCTTAGCAAAGAAAACAAGTGTCCCTAGAGGTACTGGAGTGAGAGGCTGGCCCCTCGAGTCACTTGGAATGAATCAAACAGTGAAGTTGAATAATATTCTTCTGTGGATGAAAGTCGATGCCCTTCAGGAGTGGTTTGAGACAGAGGTAGTGGCACATGGTTGTAGTCCCATTTATTTAGGAGGCGAATCAGAATTTCAAGTTTGGGGCTGGGGTTGTGGCTCAGTGGTAGAGCGCTTGCCTTGCGTGCGTGGGGTACTGAGTTCATTCCTTGGAACCACATAAACAAATAAAATAAAGGTATTGTGTCAATCTACAACTAAAAAAGTTTTTAAAAAGATTTCAAGTTTCAGGCCTGTCTGCTCAACATAGTGAGATAGTGAGAGCTCATCTCAAAAAAAAAAAAAAAAAAAAAAAAAAGTGATTTTTAATTCTGAGAGGCAGACTCCTCTTTCCCAAGAGTTAATTGCAGGAAGTGACCAGATTCCTCTAGCTCTGGATAACAGACTTCTAAACCCTTCTATCCTCTTGAATTCCATTGCTTAGCAAATGTCAGCAAAGGTTGAAACAGGCAAACTCTCAATTTTTAACTTGTTAAATACACAGATTCAGGAGCTTAAATACACACATCTGAATCTCCACAGTGCATTATTAAGACGGCTATGGCTATATTTCAACTAGGGTTCTTTCTTTATACCATTTCCTGGTGATTTCACTCTTCATGAAAGAATATTAACATCATTTCAAATGACTAAATAAAGGTAGAGACTGCTTTAAAGATTAGATGGAAATGGGATCTATTCATGTCAGAAGAACATATTGAAATTCATCAGAACCAACTAAAACCCAAGAGGATGGCCCATAGGCTCATTTCCTGAGTCAAAAAACAAACAAACAAACAAACAAACAAACAAACACACAAGGAAATTCTATGAGTCTAACGAGGAGGTGGCGGGGTCCATTGAAGTTCCCTTCCACCTTGGCTTGTGTCCAGAGAGAATGTCCTCTGGAATGAAGAACAGGCCTTGGCAACTTCCCTAGCTGGGCAATACTGGCCTGGGCCCCAGTATTGGCAGACTAGGGAAAGGTCCCTTCTGCCTCTTCCACAGGTAGGGCAGCTACAGGTCATGTCTGTTCACTAGGCCAGTGTCACAAAGGTATTCCTCTAGCAGTTGTGGGATTATTGTTCTTGCTTAAACATTAAATACCAAATCATATACACAGCCTGATCTCAACTTCATGAAAAAGAATCCATAGAAGGAAAGAAACAACTTAAAAAATTAACTGTGGTTTTCTCTGAGAAGCAGGATTACAGATAGTGTTTGAAATTCTCTTTTCTATACCTGGGGGGATAGCTCAGAGGTACAGTGCATGTATAAGGCCCAGGATTCGAATTCCCAGCATCCAAAACAACAATCAAGTTCTCTAGACTTTTTTGTGATCTCTTAAGTTTCTTCTAGGAGGATATCATTGATTTTTATAATGAAACACTTTACAATACTGTACTGCTAGTGCACTATTAGCTTTGTGCTAAATAATTAAGCTCAGCTCTATTCTCCAACTCCGAAATCCAGGTGGGCTTTAGGATCATGGCTCTAGGCAGGCCACAGGGGACCCTTCCTGTGTGATAGACATCTGCTGTTTGTCCTGCCCATCATTCACAGCACCTTCTTTTGGTAAAATAACTTTCTCCTCTCCTACTCTCACTCTTCACCATTAAGTCTACCAATAAAGTTGTCTAGCTGAAGGAAAAGCACATAAGACAAGAGGGCCAATTCAATTCTCTTCAAGGAACCTGGGGTTTGGCAGATAGACATGAAGCCTGAAGACAGCTGTAGTGATTCATTCTGAGAGTGGACCTTGGAGAGACTACACCTTAGTGATTGCTCTGTGCTGTCATTTTCAAAATGGTCCTTGGTTTTCTGTGGGCTTGTGAGCTCCTCTCTGTCTTGCCAATAAACTCCTGTTTCTTAAGTTAGTTTATTTAGGTAAAAGAAATAGAAACTGACTGACTAACTGCAGTGACAGCCTACCCCCCTTGACCTACCATAGAAGACCACTCCAGGATGAACTGTTGCTTCAGGGGACATATTTCCATGTGAATTCAGCACCCCCCATCCCTTAAACCAGGTGTAGCT